TCGCAGGATAAAAAAGTACGTGTATAAATGCTCTATACTGGAGCAAATTAGACTGCTGTGCAGTTACCTGCAAAGCATTTGTGAATGCACTCCTAATCGCCAAGAAGTGTGAAGGGTATGTATAGGCTTTTCTTAATCCCTGCCTAAGGCTTCTCTGTTGGCTAGCAGATTGATTTATAGGTAATGGGCAACAAAATGGAGTGAAGACTTCTCGGATTCTTTCTCTCTTTCCCCTGAAGTGCTTTGATGGATGTTATTAAGGTCTTGGTCTTGGTATTAATCTTTCCAACTTGAGGCCCTAATTTTTTATTCTTCTATGACTGTCTCTATATGCAAAGATGGGAGTCTTTTGGAAGGTTGTGGAGCTTTAACTAAATGTGTACTTGAAGAATATCAAGTCCCTCTACAGCATTAAGACCAGTTAGCCCCTAAGAATTAGAGATGGGGCACAACTTAAATATTTTATCAACCCTTATCTATTGCCTTTCAATGTCTAGTTAGATCCAGGTTTGTTTTTGCTGAGCCAAGCTCATGATCCTGTACTGAGCTCTATTCAGTTGGACTCCATCCATTGCACAGCTGCTTTGAAGCGCCCCAGAGTCCCAATCTACATACCAAGGGCAGCAAAAACAAAACTAGGACTCCCTCGCTCCTCTTCAGCACTGGAAGCAATTACATTGGTAACTAAATGTGCTAAAGCTGCAAAAATGTACAGATGCTGTTTTCCATCCTGATGGTCTGGTCAGCTTCAGGTGAGGTCTTCAATACTTGCAGATGACTTGGTCACAGTTTGGTCCCCAGCTAGGTTCCATGCCTACAGTTTTCATCTTGCCCACTCCACCATGGCTAGAAAAGTCTAGGTTAAAATCATACCATCCTGCTCTTCTGTTTGCATCGCCAGCAGAGCATTTTGAAACAAGTCTTGAGAATCTGTCACAAATGGGGCTCAAACAATAGCTCTATGGGCAGCCCACCAGCCTATTTGTACTAAAGCTGCCTACCAGCCAGTAAATTACTGGTATCTACAATGATGCAGCTCTTCTGTTTTTGTGGATAGGAGAAAAATGTTTGACATGGTGTAAAGAGGGATTTTGGACTGGTACTGCTCTTGGAATTATGGCAGAGCATGCCCCAGCTGAAGCAGCAAAGCAAAAGAAAGCACCTATTTGCTTTTAATCCAAAAAAAAAAAAATATATATATTTTTGGTAGGAAATGCTAAGCTGACAACAGAGGCAACCCTCTCGAATGAATACAATGGTAGAGAACCTTCCCCAAAAGCTCAACTATTTTTTTTTGTCTCCACACTTCTGGGAGGTGGGTTTCCTAAAGACCAAGAGCTTATGTCCAGCTTTTGACCAGGTGTTTGTTCTGTCTGAGACTGTTAGCCAATTAACACAAGATCTAGGGCAAACAGCTGCTCACTTGAAACTGCTCTAAGACCACCAGTGCATTTTGTATTGGTAGTGATCATCAGTTATATGATCATTATGTTTGGACCACGATAGGCCTCAGGTTCCTAAATACTTGTAACTTTGTCATGACCAAGCTCCTAAGTCACTTCATTCTTTGTTATACCACTTCTCTCAATTAGGCATAAGACAGGACTGTGTCAACAAAGTAAATTTAAAGCAGCTGCCCCATTTAGGCAGCATAAAGAAGAAAACATTTTAGGTCCTTTGGCAGTGGTCCTCAACCTTTTTGAACTTGAGGCACCTCTCCATAACTCTTCTGAAATTAGGTAGTTCACAATTTCAAAAACTAATTTACGTATTACAGTGGTTACCTTCTTACAGAGGGACCAGGCAGTGAGATAGCTGCCTATATTCTCACACCTCGTGGCACCATTCAAAGGATCTGGCTGCACTCCATGGTACCATGGCATGCACCCTGGTTGAGAATCGCTGCTCAAAGTGGGGGAAAAAAATATTGTGCGTGTTTGTGCATCTTGCCCAACAAATGTAACTGCCCTTATTGTAAATCTGTGCATCTGTAGCATTGTTCCTCTGCTGTGTATGTTTTTTCCAAAATATGTTGTCTCTCTCAAAGGGTAAATAGAAGAAGAGGAAATATGACTTGTGGTGGGGCACTGGACTGGGGCTAAAGAGACCCGGTACTGCATCTGTGCAGTGCCTGTCACTGGGGCCCTAATTCAACTGAGACTTCAGAGCAAGCTACTGAAAAGGAGCACTACTTGTGCCATAATTGTATTTAAACTTATTACATGACAGAAGGTCCAATGTCACATACCATTAACTGATACACGACTTAGATTTGCTTAGATTGTCACAAGTGAGGTTTTCTGTATGGTTGACTTGTTTGAAGTTTTGGTTTTTTGGCTTGCTTGTTTGATTTGCATTCTAAAAGATGAGCCTAAATGGTTGCTAAAAGCTTCCCCTGTTCCCTTTTATTTTAGTTGCACAGTGAGAGTCCTTGAGCTTGTTATGATGTATCAATTTCATTTTAATAGTGCCACTGCAAATCCTAAACTGTCTTTAAACCAATCATTTGAGTTCCAGGTGGCAGCATGCCTTGAACCTTTGGAGTTAATTATAGCCACATTTACATTCAGAGACGCGATAAAAGATCAGTCACAACTCTGGCAGTGCACAAGGGTTTTTGCCATTTACCCAGTGAATCAAGGAATCGGGACCAGATTCAGTTGGCAGGAAGATCTGATTGGATTCAGAACCCAAATCAGTGAGGTCCAGGAACAAAATGTTCTTTGTGTAGGCCCAGCATAGCCCTAGAGAAGAGTCCAAGCATTTCAGACATTGCTCTTGCCAGTGGAGCTGTAATGAAATATCATGGACAATAGTTTACACACAGATATGGGGAACATAAGCACAATTATTTTTCTAACTAGCTGTCTGTGTCAGGATTTGAGTAGGTGAGCTCCTTCTGTCCTTTCATCCTAGCCTCAGCACTTTGCCAAAGCAGATGAGAATGAGCCAACACAGTCTCAGGATGAGTAGCCTAACGAACCAGTTTGCAAAGATGTTGTGACAAGTCTTTGTGGCTTCCTTCACTTTGTTGTCTTATCCAACTCTTAGCATAAAGTCTGGAGGACTGAAAGCTGAACAGAACTGAACAAAGGATCAGAAGAAATCTCTTCATCACTTCTATTCCTCACCAGCATCCACGTGCCCTTAGCCATAAAGAAGCAGTACAGGTATTTGGGGAGGTTAAATGGGGTTCAAAATGGCTGCCCGATTTAAACTTGGCTCATTCTGGTGCTAAACTTATGCTTACAGACCTGGTCTCAGTGACTGGCAATCAGTCTAAACCTGTAACTGTACAGCAGTTCCATGCACACAAACCAGTCTAAAATAGCAGAGCTTGGTTTAACTTAAACTTGGATCTATGTAGTATCAAATTTTATTCAATTCGGGTCAAAGCAGTGCATGGAGCTCCTACACACCTTCCCTGTGCAGCCCTGGTGCAGGAAAACCCAATCACTTGCCCCAGCCCCAGGACTGCTCTTTTCATACTCCCCCTGACCCCTGTTCCTAACTGGGTTTTCTGGGTTGTTTCCCCCCCCCCCGCCCAACTCCCGACTGCTCCCAACCAGCCAGGTCTTTCAACCCCCATCCCACAAGATGTTTCCTGTGCAGCTATTTTTATCAGCATTTGCCACTACTAGAGTTGAGCAAGTAAGTCCCAGTGGTAGAAGGGGTGGGAGGTATGCACAAAGCAGGGGGGGCTGGACCCAATGGTCTCACGAGGTCCCTTCCAGACCTAAAATTTTGTGAATCTGTATGGGGGTGTAGGCTTGCTGGGAGAGGGACCCCGCTCCACCTGCAGGTCATTCTTGCCCCCACAACCTTCATGGGTTGTGCCAGCCCCTGCCCACTGCACCTGTGGGTTGCGCTAGTACCCACCTCTCATGGGTTGCACCGCCCCTCATCCCCCAGCAGACCCCCATACCCTCCAGCCTGCTGGACCCCCAACGCCCAGTTTCCCCTTCCTGCATCCTGACTTACCTGAAATCAGGCAGCCATTTTGATCCAATTTAACCTCCCCCAAGGCCCCCAAATATCTGTACTTGGCCTAGATGAAACTCCCATGGCCAGGCCAAGGAAGTAACTTTTTCCTTAAGTTTCAACATTAAAAGGCACAGGGAGTCTTGCCTTTAGTTGGTCTAGGATTTTGGCTTTAGTGTCTGAGAGGAGAGAAAAT